ATTAAATAATTTTTGTCTGCTGTGTTAGGGCACAGCGAGTTGCATTGCCATAAACAAATCAAAATAATATGAATGTGTTAGGAGTGCGCAACTAGAAAATACCCTGTATTATAATATATGTCAAACATCATTAAAATATATAAGCTGTAGTTAACTAATCGATAAATACGAATTTCAAATTTCCTAAGTTTTATTTATATTGGCAAATAATGTTAATTATTAAATATTACATACGGAAAATTTCCAAAAAATTATATTATATTAAGAAAAATAATTTTATTAAAATAAAAAATATATATTTTCTTTTAATTAAAAAAAAATCATAATATAATTTTTTAATTAGAAAAATAAATTATATAAACTATATATAAAAAAAAAACTAACAAATATTTGTATTTATGCAAAAAAATATAACATCCTCTTTAATTTGTTTTTGTCATCAGGCCATAGAAGCGTAAATATATAATATACATATATATTTGTCAGCTTAAATCCTCGGAAAATTCATAATTAAAATTTGTAAACAATAAAAAAAAAAAATACCGAAAAAAAAGTAGGAAAACATTGACATTTCTGCAATTTACATGAGGGACTCGTCGTGCGAGGAAGGCGACTATTTTTAAACATGACATGAAATTTGCAACGAAAATAGTAAAATCAAGCTAAAAATACGGCCAAAACAAAGCAAAGGAAAATTAAATAATATCAAGTGAAGACAAAGCAAAACAAAAAGCAAAAATCACGACAATGAAAAAAAAAAAAAAAACAAATTTGTTTGGTAGATACTTGTTGAAGTGCGACCCACCCTTAACAGCGCGAATAAGGGGTAAACAGGCCTTGGCCCTATGACACCACAGCGCACGTCCCTCCCCAACCAACAGATGCTGCGAACGCTTATCAGCGGCAAAAATCTCTCTCTCTTAGATTAGTAAGCGAAAATCGATGCATTAACAAATTAATAGATGTGCTGGACTATGGAACACACGGGTCACAGTTCAAACAGTATGCAAAATATTAACTTTATATTATAGCTGTATTTCCTTAGTTCTAATTGATTGGTATAATATATGTATGCATAAGTTAAGATAGTGCACTAATTGAAATTTGTCTG